TTACGTTTTGAATATGGATATTTTTCTTACAAAAACGCATCGATTCGCTACAGGAGGCCTTTGTTCACCACCCCGGAGCCGTTGAGACACTTTTTTTATGGATGGGTGATTTTTATTTAACTTCTTTTGGACTGTTGCATGCAACACCCAATTTTTAATATAACTCCGACTCGATTCGTCTGAAAGAAGAAAGTCATATACACCTAGGATGACTTGAGGGTGAGTAATTGATGGGCTAATTTTCATTTTTGGGTGAACTAACCCTTTAAGGCCAGCATACTCTCTTTAGCAATTAAACCCAGAAGTAAAATTGTAATTTAGTACATAATAGTTAACAAAGTCAAACGCATGACCACTAATCTATGATGAACATGTTTTTAATTTCTGTAATAAAATTCACTACTATTTTTTTAAAGGGGTGGGGGGGGGGGGGCATAATAATATCTGTGATACGATTTTTCTGATACTTTCCTGATTTCATAAAGAAAAAAAAAATAATTCATTAAATTAGATAAGCAGTAGTTTGGCATAATGTTCTTCTATAATTACGACCAATAATAACAACCAAGCATATATCTTTCTTAAGCAGTTGTGTCAAGCAAGCAATACACAGCAATCCTACTTCACCTAGTTAATACTCAATATATGAGCTTGTTCCTACACCCCTGGGCTTAACTTTTTTCCCCAAACCCTACCTTGACAAACAATACTCATATTGACACTGATTCACACGGGTTCAAGCCCATAACTGTAAAAATGCTGATCCCATTGGTTAATAGAAATAGTGTTTCAAGACCTAACTTCACATAAAGTCTGTAATTGTATAAAGCAGTTCAAAAACACTCAAGCCTTTGACTTTGCTACATCATAAGCTGCACCACAGGGGTGACAAAAACACAAGAAATTCATAACATCCCCTCTAATATTTAAAGTTCCCAACATGTCTTTGAAGGCCTGAGCACTTTAACTTCTACCAGGCAGCACTCTTCAGTGGTCAGACTCACACCACTTCTCCTCAAGGTTTTAATGAGGTCCGTGGGGAGCAAAGCTGCTCGCTCACCGTGCCCTAACACTCTGTAAGAGAGCTGACCTCCTGCCCCATCATACTGTCAGACCGTGTCATGAGAGACCCAAGAACTATTAAAACCAAATGAGAAATGAAAAACGAGTTGCAAAAATTACACTGCTAATGACCCATTCAATGTACATGTCGGCTGCCACTGTTTATTTCTTAATTTTGTTCAAAGATAAGCCAGGCTGATTAATGTTCAGTCACATGGAGGTAATAATTACCCGGACTGATAAAATGTCACAGATGTTAAAGGTTACATTCGGCCCTGCTCTTGACTACTTGACTAGGCCAGCTTCCTTACCATTTAATCCTTTAATACAATGGAGATATTTTTACTCTGTTTTATATCATAGCCATTTTTATGACTAATATAACCTAATCTCCTTTCATTACCAAACTGTATGGTATAAGAAATAAATGATTGCTATTTTTACCAACCATCTGCCCTGTAATCTCCATTCAAGCACTGTCCTTTCATTTGCAGCGTCACACCATATAGGTTTACATCATAAAAGCGAGCGTCAATGTTAAAATTCTTTCTGTTTCAGAGAAATATAAAGTAATATATTTATAGATTGATTCCCCCAAAGTGTAAACTCTGGCTCTGTTGTTTTCAAAACATTTGAGCTGCTCGATCAGCCCAACAACAACAGAACTGAGTCAACCAATTGGGTGAGTTTGGAGGCGAGGCTATCTGTTTCACGGACCAATTGCAGAAAGAGAGTGTTTCCTTTTGAAAACAGTTTTTTTGCTGTTATTTTGCTGTCACAGCAGAACTGATTCAACCAATGGGGTGAGTTTAGGGCGGGGTCATCTGTTTCACAGACCAATGGCAGACAGGGAGTGTTTCTGTTTGAAAACAGTCACTTTTTTGTTGTTATTATGGGGGAGTCAACCTAAAGTGTAAACTCTGGTTCTGTTATGGTTTCCAAACATTTTGTTCTGTTTGTTTGAGCCACCCGACTAGCCTGACAACAGCAGAACTGAGTCAACCAATGGGGTTAGTTTGGGGTAGGGCCATCTGTTTCACAGACCAATTGCAGAAAGGGAGTGTTTCTGTTTGAAAACAGTAAATTGTTGCTGTTATTTTGCTGTTACAGCAGAACTGATTCAACCAATGGGGTGAGTTTAGGGCGGGGTCATCTGTTTCACAGACCAATGGCAGACAGGGAGTGTTTCTGCTTGAAAACAGTCAATTTGTTTTTTGCTATTATTATAGGTTGATCCCCTAATGTGTAAACTCTGGCTCTGTTGTCTTCAAAACATTTCTCTGTTTGTTTGAGCCACCCGACCAGCCCGGCAACAGCAGAAATGACTCAACCAATGGGGTGAGTTTGGGGGCAGGGCCATCTTTTTCACAAACCAATAGCAGACAGGGAGTGTTTTTGTTTGAAAACAGTCTCTTTTTTTGCTGTTACTCGGTGTACTTTCACTAAATTAGACACTTCAGCTTCTAATAAAGATCTTTCTAAACAAATCAATGCATAAATGTAATACAACAAGCATGTTTTACTTGAGTTTGCACATACAATGATCAAGTGTGTGTGTGCATTAATGAAACGAAGATGGCCTTTTGATTTATTTGCATTACAAAGCAGGCACAAAGACCGGCTGTAATCCATCAAAACCAGGCAATCTGATTCTCCGAAAAGCGTTCTTCAGATAAACAAAATTACGAATTTAAAACTCGCGCACCTTCGAATCTCGCACTCCTGGTGTTCAGAAAGATTGCTTTGGAGGGATATAAATAAGCATATTACAAACAGATACGTCTGATTAAAAATCCTCGTCGCAAATGAATGTATCATCACAGACGAATCTCATTACTCCTTCAGATGACAAATGGTAAACCTAGGTTGCAATATCCATTTACTAATATCCTGGATCCCGTTGTGATTTAATAAATGCACTGCTGACATTTACACATCTTTATCTTATTAGTTTAACAACAAAATATTAGTCCTAAATGAGGAGCAGCATAACAACCCACCGCGACACAGTGCCAATTAGGTGAAGGGACAAATGATCTAATTATATAATCGTAATTCTGGGGGTTTATGCTACGACGGGCGAAGAAGCGGGGACGGCAGACAGGCTTGTTAAGACATGTCACTCTAATTGTGATTTACAGCTCTGTTCGGTCAATGCGTGTGCGATGGAGGCGTCTGACGGACTGGATGGCCTGCCCTCATTAGTAAATGTCTCCCTTCGTCTGTAGCAAAGAATGGGAAGCGCTGACCGCTATACACATGGTGTCATTTGGCTAACCATCCGAGGGCTGGGCAAGGCCCACCGACTGGATCCACTGTTGGTTTTGTCAGTAATTATCAGTGCCGACGAAGCAGGTAAATTTGGTCCTCACAGAAGCATGGAGTAGCGTTAGACCGCACAGGCAGCTTGTTAAGAGGTTCACGTGCTGTTAGCCCTTGTTAATTTACACGTTACTTGGTATAAAATCCCAATTTGCGGTGTTACATTCCAACGAGTAAAAATAAATCCGCACCTGACAGCGAAGCCTTTGCGATGTTGACGCAAGTGACTAGCGTTGAGCTCAGCCGTCCATGGCGAGAGCGTGTCAGTCCGTGTTTCGTCTATTGAGTGAACACTCTGTCTCCGTCTCCTGGGGGTCCATCGTGTGCTAGAACACAGTCTGGCCCCTGTCCCGCGTACCTTCAGCTAAGCCGTCCAGATAGCATTCAAACTCTTCTACGTAACATGCATCTGCCTCATTAACCCCTACAGCACCTATTGATTTTTTTTTCTCTCCATGATTTTACGGATCCTCAAGCTTTCCACAGCCATTGTGCTAATTCGGACTTACAAGGGATAATATAATGCTGGGCTTCCTGTGTCTGCTGTAATTCAATAGGACAATAAGTCAAGATAATTTAGCCATCTGTTGGTTCTCTGCTGAGACGGCAGAAGTATATTTTCTGTTTCTTGGCTCTTCAGTGCTCCAGTTTCAAGATACATACATATATTTCACTACTGCTACTTAATTTTTACATTATTGTTATGAATAATTTTTTTTTGCAAGTTTGACAATATAATAATAATAATGATGATGATGATGTTAGGTCATTTTTGAATTTCATATTATTATTATTATTATTATGAAATTCAAAAATTACCTAACATCATCATCATCATTATTATTATTATTATTACTATTATTATTATATAAAAAGGCAAATTTACAAAACAATTTATATTAAATTACATTCAATATTTTAGCAATTTGCATTTATTAATAATAACCATCATCATCTTATATTTTTAATTTAAATTATTATTTAATATTAAATTATATTAAATATTGTAAATATGCATTCATATTTACAATGAACAACATGCTGTTGTTGTTATGAAATAAATGTATATTTACGAAATTACATAACATATTTTGTACATTTGTCTTCATATTTCATAATAATAACAATTTATGCATTGTATTACATAAAAAGGCAAATTTACAAAACTTTTAATATAAATTACATTAAATATTTTATCAATTTGCATTTATTCATAAAATTATCTTATATTTGTAACTTTATTATTTAATATTAAATTATACTAAATATTGTAAATATACCTTCATATTTAATAATAATAACTCACATAATTACTACTGATGTTATGAAATAAATGTATATTTACAAAATTATATAAAATATTTTGAAAATGTACGTTCATATTTAATAATAATAATAATAATAAATAAAATAAATAATTTGATATATATCATTACATCCACTCTGACACTGATCTATGCAGTCTAAATTGTGTATCTACTAGAGTATCAGTTTATGTAAAATAGCTTTTTAAACACTGAAACACAGTTTTGGCTAAACTGAATGTAAAGCCTGCAAGGTTGTAGTAGTTGTACATGGATAAATCTCATTGTTTATATCACCTGTTGTTTTAAAGCCCAAAATAACCATCGTAAATCAGCCACCAGGCCCTAAAACAAAAATGACTGTGTGTTATTTTGTTACTCGAGCTAAACTGCTGCTGTAATATTCAGTGATGGCTGGCAAGTTACTGCAATTGGTCACAAAAGACACAAGTAGGTTTGTGTCTCATTTTATTTTCCTTGATTAAAATCATCCATTATATCGAGCATTATAATTATTAGAAGCAAAACTCCCACGCTTACTTTGACTGTTAATCAGAAAAAAAAGTCCTATAATTGCTCAAAATATGAAAGTCTTGAGCGGATTAATTTGCGAGTTAATTAAGAGGCACGATTTATATGTCTCATGCAAAGCCTACGGTATATTCCTAACGATACTGCCTCATTTTAAACTGATTTCTTATTAAAATTCACAAATTTAGTTTAGATTTTCTGTTTGATCATGGCACTTAATCGCATAAATGTTGGAAAAACAAACAAACCACAATTAAAATGCTGCCAAGACAAATTCTCTCATATCCTCTGAACAAGCAACTGGCGTGAAATAAAACCGTACACAACTCAATTATGACCCCAGAAATATCCAAAACACTCCGACGTATGAAAAGGAAACCTTTCGAAACAAATACAAGGCTTTGTCCCTGAGCTTGGCGTCTCCACAACCTCAGACTACAGTCCCTGTGAGAGCTACATAAAAATATTGTCATCCTAAATGACACTGGAATGAACTAAGCCTCGATGGACGCCGTCTAGAAACACGACCGTCGCAGTTGTACATGACTGAAACATAGCAAAATAGTTTAAAGTCAACATACTATTCAAATGGACCCTGTTTATTTGAATATTGTGCAAAATTCACAAGGGAACACAGTAAAATCGCCTTTTCTTTAAAAATATTTAGGATAGCGCAGAAGAGGGATCTCATTATGATTTTATAGACAGAGGAGACATTAATGCACCACCAGGAAGACAGGATTGCTCCAGCACTTAGAACCGAGGCAAAGTGGAATGTTTTGACCAGGAATAGCATCTCATCCCTGCACTTTACCTCTTCCTGCCTTATCTCGCTCTCTCTCAAGTTGGCAGTCTGCTGTTCCTTACTCTCAATTAAAGTAATGGACATCTGGACAGCAATCAGGACGGCCCCTCTGGGTAAAAACACCCACAAAGGATCTGCACGTCTCGTCTCTTCCTAGATAGTGGGCTTAAATCGATGAGCTCAGAAGACTAATTGTAGAACACGCTACGGCAATACAGAATCCCGTTAAGATCCGAGTCATCATTTCCTCTCATGTCTCAGATGAATTTCCTCCCAGGCCCATTTAATGGGTCATTTAAAATGTCTGTTTGTTAGTAAAGATCAAGGATGTATTGTTCATTTTTTTTTGTTCACTATTAGCTGTAAAATACTTAGCAATTTTGCATAATGCTTAGCTTAACATGATTACAAATGCTAAGGCTAAAAAATACACTATGCATTGAGACGGTTTTTGCAAAAACAAAAACGTAATTTCAATTTGATTTGCATTTTCATTTGCGTCATTTTATTTTCATTCATAACACAGCATAAGAATGCATTCTAAGCACCATTGTGTGCTAGCGGAAAGTAGTGTGAACTGATCCAGAAAGATACTCAAAGTACTTTGTTTCCAACTACATAAACGAGATTTTATGCACTTCTGTTTTCCAAAATGTGCCAGAACGCAACTGATAACGTGTGCATTTTTTAGCATGATTGCAACACAGCTACCAAAAATGTTTTAAGAACATTTAGCTAATGTTCATAAAGTTATCAAAATGCTACTTCTGAATGTTTTTAAACATTTTTGTTTTTGTTTTGTTTAACATTACTGGAAGAACGTTTTTATTCATAACTTTGAGAGAACTTTGCCAGAACGGTAAGTAAGTTCTGAGAACATTCCCTAAATGCGGATGCTTTTTTTTTTCCCGAAATGTGTCGAAAATGATTCATAACCTTATGCAAGTATTGTTGCGAGTCGCGCAATACTGGGTATTTGCATAAACAGGGCCAGAAGCATACTCAAAGTACTGTATGTGAATGCAGAGGCTTCTAGATACACAAGCTTGATTTTACATGTTAAAATGTGAAATTTTTACGAAGTTGTGCAATAGCAAACATTAGTGTAAACAATGATTCAGAAACAAATTCAATGTAAGTATGTGAATGTAGATGCTTATAGCTATATAAATTCAACGTTATGCATTGTTTTTTCTCCCGAAATGTGCCGGACACAATTCGTAACTTTATGCAAGTATGTGTTGAATAGCAGGCATTAGCATAAACAAAGCCAGAAACATACAAGTTTGGCAAGTTTGTCAACGCAGATGCTTAGGAAGACAGGATTGCTCCAGCACTTAGAACCGAGGCAAAGTGGAATGTTTTGACCAGGAATAGCATCTCATCCCTGCACTTTACCTCTTCCTGCCTTATCTCGCTCTCTCTCAAGTTGGCAGTCTGCTGTTCCTTACTCTCAATTAAAGTAATGGACATCTGGACAGCAATCAGGACGGCCCCTCTGGGTAAAAACACCCACAAAGGATCTGCACGTCTCGTCTCTTCCTAGATAGTGGGCTTAAATCGATGAGCTCAGAAGACTAATTGTAGAACACGCTACGGCAATACAGAATCCCGTTAAGATCCGAGTCATCATTTCCTCTCATGTCTCAGATGAATTTCCTCCCAGGCCCATTTAATGGGTCATTTAAAATGTCTGTTTGTTAGTAAAGATCAAGGATGTATTGTTCATTTTTTTTTGTTCACTATTAGCTGTAAAATACTTAGCAATTTTGCATAATGCTTAGCTTAACATGATTACAAATGCTAAGGCTAAAAAATACACTATGCATTGAGACGCTTTTTGCAAAAACAAAAACGTAATTTCAATTTGATTTGCATTTTCATTTGCGTCATTTTATTTTCATTCATAACACAGCATAAGAATGCATTCTAAGCACCATTGTGTGCTAGCGGAAAGTAGTGTGAACTGATCCAGAAAGATACTCAAAGTACTTTGTTTCCAACTACATAAACGAGATTTTATGCACTTCTGTTTTCCAAAATGTGCCAGAACGCAACTGATAACGTGTGCATTTTTTAGCATGATTGCAACACAGCTACCAAAAATGTTTTAAGAACATTTAGCTAATGTTCATAAAGTTATCAAAATGCTACTTCTGAATGTTTTTAAACATTTTTGTTTTTGTTTTGTTTAACATTACTGGAAGAACGTTTTTATTCATAACTTTGAGAGAACTTTGCCAGAACGGTAAGTAAGTTCTGAGAACATTCCCTAAATGCGGATGCTTTTTTTTTTCCCGAAATGTGTCGAAAATGATTCATAACCTTATGCAAGTATTGTTGCGAGTCGCGCAATACTGGGTATTTGCATAAACAGGGCCAGAAGCATACTCAAAGTACTGTATGTGAATGCAGAGGCTTCTAGATACACAAGCTTGATTTTACATGTTAAAATGTGAAATTTTTACGAAGTTGTGCAATAGCAAACATTAGTGTAAACAATGATTCAGAAACAAATTCAATGTAAGTATGTGAATGTAGATGCTTATAGCTATATAAATTCAACGTTATGCATTGTTTTTTCT